TATACCACATTGGCAGATGTGCAGGTGAACATCTGCTTGATGTGGAAAGTCTTCTTGGGGCCTGGGATGGGGGTGAGGGAGGAGGTATGGGGGCAGGTGTAGCACTTCCTGCGGTTGCAGGGAAAAGTGCCGGGTGTGGTGGAGCTGGAGGGGAGTGTGGAGCGGACAAGGGAGTCACGGAGAGAGTTGTCCCTCCGGAAAGCAGATAAAGGTGGGGAGGGAAAGATGTCTTTGGTGGTGGGGTCGGATTGCAGATGGCGGAAGTGTCGGAGGATGATGCGTTGGATCCGGAGGTTGGTGGGGTGGTACGTGAGGACGAGGGGGATTCTTTTTTGGTTTTTATTGCGTGGACGGGGTGTGAGGGATGAGGTGCGGGAGATGTGGGAGACACGGTTGAGGGCGTTCTCGACCACTGAGGAGGGGAAGTTACGGTCCTTGAAAAACGAGGACAACTGAGATGTACGGGAGTGGAATGCCTCATCCTGGGAGCAGATGCGGCGGAGGCGAAGGAATTGGGAATAGGGGATAGCATTTTTGCAGGAAGGTGGGTGGGAGGAGGAGTATTCTAGGTAGCTGTGGGAGTCGGTGGGCTTGAAATGAATATCGGTTTCGAGGTGGTTGCCCGATATGGAGACAGAGAGGTCCAGGAAGGGGAGAGAGGTGTTAGAGATGGTCCAGGTAAATTTAAGGTTGGGGTGGAAAGTGTTAGTGAAGTGTATGAACTGTTCGAGCTCCTCGTGGGAGCACGAGGCGGCGCCGATACAGTCATCAATGTAACGGAGGAAGAGGTGGGGTTTAGGGCCGGTGTAGGTACGGAAGAGGGATTGTTCCACGTAACCTACAAAGAGGCAGGCGTAGCTTGGGCCCATGCGAGTACCCATGGCTACCCCCTTTGTCTGTAGGAAGTGGGAGGAATTGAAAGAGAAGTTGTTGAGTGTGAGGACGAGTTCGGCTAAGCGGATGAGGGTGTCAGTGGAGGGGGACTGGTCGGGCCTGCGGGACAGGAAGAAGCGGAGGGCCTTAAGGCCATCTGCATGGGGAATGCAGGTGTAGAGGGACTGGACGTCCATGGTAAAGATGAGGTGTTGGGGACCGGGGAATTGGAAGTTCTGGAGGAGGTGGAGGGCGTGGGTGGTGTCACGGACATAGGTAGGGAGTTCCTGGACCAAGGGGGAGAAAATGGAGTCGAGATAGTTGGAGATCAGTTCGGTGGGGCAGGAGCAGGCGGAGACAATGGGTCGACCAGGGCATTCAGGTTGCGCACTGACCTCTACATCGCCGAGGCCGGACACCAACTCTCCGACACCTCCTACCGCCCCCTTGATCATGACCCCACCCCGAGCACCAAACCATCATCTCGCAAACCATCCACAACCTCATCACCTCAGGTGACCTCCCACCCACGGCCTCCAACCTCGCACTGCCCGCTTCTATCTCCTTCCCAAAATCCACAAACCTGAATGCCAAAAACAGTCTTTAAATAAAAAAAACAATAATTGGAATGAACAGGATGGCTATTGTTGGAAATAGAAATGTTCCACTGGTTCAATGGGGGTGCTTTTCTGAATGTGGAAGCATACTTTTGGGGAAAGGTAAACTAAGCAAGTAGAAATGCTGTATCTGCCTTGGGATGTTAACAGTGGATACCTAGAATGATAAACAATTCCATTCCTCTGAGCCAACACTTCACACTTTGTAAAATACTAAATGCTGTAAAATATTAAAAGACAAAAACACAAATTTTCAGAAAGAAACTTGATAAACTCATGCAAGTTTCTAATAGCAGACATTTTACTCAGTTGAACATAATGCTTAAATGGTTCATGACCTCCTGACTCCTTATAACGGTCATAATTTAGCTTCATTTACCCTTGAAAGGTTTAATTTAAGTTAATTAAAGAAAGGTTTGGCAAATAATCAAAAGAACTCTAAAATTTAACTATTATAAAAAAGCAAAATGGGTACTTTCAACTTTGTAAGAAATCAAATTACTGTTTGTCGCAAATACACCAAGACACAAATTCAGTCGTTGTCAAGAAGTAAGAATGTAGTCATGTGACAGTCAGTCATTGCATTCTATCTGTTTCTTTTGTCATAAGTAGATCTCTAGTCTCTGCTTTATAAAGAATGTGGAGTTTTTTTAAGTTTAAGTTGCCTATTTCTGGGCTATTTGGCAAAGGAAATTGAAATGACAACTCATGCCAAGTATAGGCCCTTTCGTATTCAACATGTGCTACTTGATGGACCATCCTTGGAATCGGGTAGGGGGGCAGTTACTGAAAGTGGGACCATTTAATTATGTGGGAAGGCCTTAGGAGTGATGTTAAAATCCACTTCCCAAATTAGTTTCACGGGCTTTCTACCTGACATCAGGCAAAGAAGGTGGCTGTTAACATGTTTCAGCAAACCCTTTCAAATTTTCTGATCTGAGAAAGCTGGTGGCAGCAAGCTCCTTACAAAACCAATAAAGTTATTGGAAAATGTAAAGGATTAAAGGGTCTGCAGGCCACATGCTGCTTAAAACCCTAGGCTTGACCAAGAATGTTTTTGTGGCTAGGTGACAGCCAGGTCAGGCATGCAAACATGCTGAACCCAGAAGCATATTCCCATTTGGCTTGATTCTAAATAACTGCTGCATGGCAGTGTACTGTCTAACTTAGAAATGGAAGAGTAAGGAAATGTGACCAGCCACCGAAACAAAAATATAATGCAATGAAATAAAGACATGAAAATAATGAAATAAAGCCTATGCGGGGATCCTGGGCTCCTGGCTACCAGAGGTTGAGAACCATAAGTATATTGTGGTGCCTCACATGATCTGGAAACTGGTAGTGATTAGAGTGTCATAGGCCTGTTTGTTTGTTGCACCATTGCCCTGGCATCTGCACTATCCATTCCTCATGAGCAGCATCACCTTTCCATTCCTCCTTGTTAGAGGGGACACCTGGTTCCTTCATCTTCTGTCTGCAATTGCATAGAAAACAGGCCCTTCAAATCTGTTCCACCATTCAATATGATCATGGCTGATCTGCTACCTCAACACCATTTCCTTGCTTTCTCTCTATACACCTCAATGCCTTTAATATTGAAAAGAAAAGCAATCTCTTTCTTAGATATACTTAGTGAACTGGCTCCACAGTTGTGGTGATGAATTCCACAGGCTGACTACCCTCTGGTGACGAAAAGTTTCCTCACCTCAGTCCTAAATGGTCACCATTAAATGGACACCATACCTGAAACGGTGACCCCTGGTTTTTGACTCCATAACCACGGGAAATATCCTCCCTGCAGCTAATCTGTCCAGTTCTGTTGAAGTTTCGTGTGTTTCAATCAGATCCTCTCTCATCTTTCTAAACTTATACAGGCCCAGTTGAACCAATCTCTACTCGGCCATCTGGTATCAGCCCCTAGTGAACCTTTTCTGCAGTCCACTTTGGCAAATATATCCTCTGAAATAGGGAGACCAAAACTGCACACAATATTCCAGCTGTGGTCTTACCAAGGCCCTTGTAACCTTAGTAACACATTCCTGTTGGTGAACTCAAATCACTCTGCAATGATGGCCACTGCAACACTTGCCTTCCTAATTGTTTGCTGACTTCTCTGTGTACTTTCATTGGCTGGTGTGCAAAGAATTCTAGATCCCTTTGTACATCCACATTTCCTAATGTATTTCC